TATTCTTAATAGACTTAAATNTATTTCATGTCAAATATTGAATTCAACATATTCTTAATAGACTTAAATAATTTTATCGTTACTACCAACAATAAGCATGTCGTCAACGTAAAGATATAAAATGAAAACCATTTTCAATGTTTTTGATGTAGACATTTGTCACACTCTCTGATCTCAAATTCACATTTCATCGTGACATTATCAAACTTTTCATGCCACTGTTTGTGTGCATGTTTCAAGTCATATAGTGATTTCACCAATTAACAAATTTTCTTTTCCTACCCTGGTGATGAGTTTCATGTAGATTTCTTTATCTAAATCTCCATTCAAAAATGCGGTTTTACCATCCATTTGATGTACTTTAAGATTTTGCAGAGCTGCAATCGCAAGTATCATCATAATAGATGTTATTCTCGTTATCAACAAATGTATCAAAGTAATCAAGGTATTCTCATTGTTTGTGACCTTTTATTACTATTCTGACTTATACTTTTCAATAGTTCCATCCGCTTTCATTTTCCTTTTGAAAATCTATTTATAGCCTAGTGGTTTACTTCCTAGAGAAAGATCAACTAGTTCCTATTTATGATTTTGCAAAATTGAATTTATTTCATTTTTAATGGCCTCTTTCCATTGAGGTCCTCTGAAGAGTTCATGGCTTCTTGAAAGTTTTGAGGTTTACTTTCCAACATATAGGTCAGGAAATTAGGACCATAAGATTTTGCTGTCCTTTCTCTTTTGCTGCTCTTGGTTCAATATCAATCTCCTCTTCTAGTTATTGGTCTTACTATTTCAAGTCATAATCTCATGTGTCTGTTTAGAAGAGCTTGCTTCCTCTTTGAATTTGTACGAAAATACATGTTCAAAGAATGAAACATTTTTGATTTCATTATTGTGTTTTTGTTTATGCCTAGGATTTTAGATTCATGCAGAAGAAATCGATAAGCACTATTATTATGTGTATAGCCAATGAGGATGCAATTTACAGCTTTCAGACCTATCTTTACCTTCTTTGGTGTTGGAACGGCCACTTTCACAAGACACTCACACTTTGAAGTATTTCTAGGGAGACTTTTTTCATATACATAACTCATAAGGGGTTTTTTCCATTTCCTTTTGGGACACCTTATTTAAAAAATAATTTGCCAATAACATAGCTTCCTTCCTCATGTTCTGAGGTAATCCAAAACTTACTAACATTGTATTAATAATTTCTTTTAAGGTATATTTTTTCGTTTAGTAACACCGTTTTGCTTAGGTGAATAAAGTATCGTGGTTTCATGTATAATTTCATGTTGTGCACATAATTCAACAAATGGTGCTTCATACTCGTCATATCTATCACTTTTCATCACCTAAATTTTCTTATTAAGTTGATTTTCAACTTCATTCTTATAGATAATAACTTTCTCTATAATTTCGTGCTTACTTTTAAACAAATATACATAATAGTATTTTGTGCTATCGTCGACAAAAGTAATGAAGTGGTTGTTGCCACCTCTTGTTTGTACAAATTTTAAATCACATATATCACTGTGAATTAAATCAAGTGGTTCTGTATTCCGTTCAATTGATTTAAATGATGACCTTGTCAATTTTGCCTCACCACAAGTTTTGCACTTATGTACAAATTTTAAATCACATACATTATTGTGAATTAAATCAAGTGATTCTGTATTCTTTCAATTGATTTAAATGATGACCTTGTCAATTTTGTCTCACACAAATTTTGCACTTATGTTTAGAATCAATATGAAATGCGAGTATGCAATTCAAGTTAATTAATCTACCCAATATATCATAATTAATATGTCCTAGTTTACCATGCCACAAATTGGAAGATTCAAGTAAGTAAGCACAAGAATTAATTGTATTCATTTTTGGCAAATAACCATTACATTCAATTTAAACATACCGTCGAAAACATATCCTTTCCCAACAAACATTCCATTTTTAGACAAAATGATTTTGTCTGACTCAAATACAATGTGAAAACCATGCTTATTCAGAAGTGACCCGGACATTAGATTCTTACAAATTTTCAATATATACATCATATTATTAAGAGTCAGCTCTTTTCCCCGAAGTAATCTTCAAAACTACCTTTCCTTAACCTTGATTTCAAAAGTCGCTGAATTTCTCATGAACAACTTCTCGTTCTCAATTGTTTCAAATGCACTAAACAATCCTTTATCAGAGCACACATACCTCGTAGTACCGGTGTCGATCCACCACTCTTTTGTATTTGAACCCACCATATTCACTTTAGAAATAACGGTTGCTAGATTCATCTCTAACACATCATATGCCATGAAGTCAATCACATTTGCTTCTTTCTTTTTCTTTAACAATCTGTACTCCGAAAATTTATGAACCACTTTGTTCCATTTGAAGCATTTTTCCTGAAACTTCTTTTTAGAAATTCCACATATTGGTCTCAACTTGGCCCCTCTGCCACCAAATGGCCCAAACTTATTCTTGTACGTTTTGGAACTTTAACCATGCTCAACAACATTGGTCTTAGCCATAATAGGATTAAACTACTTCTTTTCTGAACTTTGGTTGTCTTCGTCGATTCGAAGTCTACCAATCAGTTCTTCAATATTCATTTCATTTCACTTATGCTTTAGGTAATTTTTGAAATCTTTCCACACCGGAGGAAACTTTTCAATAATTGCAGCCATTTAGAATGTTTCACTCAAATTCATCCCCTCAATGTGAATTTCATGTAAAATCACTTAGGTTTGGAGTCCACGATCTTATAAACTAAGACAAGAATCAGTCAGCAATGAATGTCTTTGCCTCGGCATCCTTAGTCTTTTATTTTTGGTCCAATGACTCCTACAATTCCTTAACAATTTTTATTGTACTATACACGTTGTATAATGAATCCACCAAACTATTCATAACATAGTTGAGGCAGAGGAAATTAAAATGTTTCCTTGCATCAAGAACACTAATAGCTTGGACATCTCCCTCACCTTCATTAAGTTTCAAAGAAATTTAAGTCAAGAACCTTGCAAGATTTAAGGTAGTAAAGTAAAATAACATTTTCTGTTGCCATTTCTTTAAATTCAAGCCATCGAATTTCTCCGATTTTTCTCACGTTAACCGGACAGTCATAATAAGGCCATAAGTTTAGGACACAGCATGACTCATAGTATGACCTAGCAATTTAGCCGCAATTTGAGTCCTAGTAGAACTTGGCCCGTGAGCTACATCATGGTTTTCAGTATCCACAGTTTGGGTTACATCCATGTTAGTTGATTCAATAGTCATTCCTGAAAAAACAAATAAGAATCAGTTCTCCGACAAAGATAAATTGAATAACATGTTTGTCCTTATACAAATCTGTTTTAAATTTGTTACAAAATTTATTTGCAGAATACAATATTTATATATTATTTAGAGAACAAACGAAAAATTATCCGATGAACAGTTTACTATTGCAGAAAAACGCGAATATGAATTAAGCACTGCAAAAATGTATAATAGCTAAATTGTTTAAAAAAATCGCGAAGATGAATTAAGAACTACAGAAATATGTAATCGCTAAAAGGGAACAAAATTTGCAAATCGAGGCCTGTGTATTACAGTATCCTTAAAACGATTTGCCCCCTCACCGTGTATGTGCTTAAGGTTTTGCATGAGCATTTGTTTCCTAAGATACAACGAAAAATCAGCAAATATCAAACACTTCGTTTTTACCCCAACGAACTGAATTTTTGTCCGAACGGGATCAAGACTTCGGACAGAAAGAAACTGGAGGCAATAGTGTATTGAGAGGATGAGATAAATTTCTTGTGTGTGAAATTAAGAGAAAACTAACTTATTAGTAGGTTCTAATAGAGAATTAATAGGTTGAAAGTTACTTGTGTTACAACCTTTAACACCACCATTAGGCTATATAAAATCTCTGCATTAACACAAATGTTATCATATGAATTTCAGTAGTTAAAAGAATTTGGAAGGTTTTATTTAGAGAAAATAATAAAAATATATAGGAAATGAAGGCGAAACGTAGACCATCCAAGGGGCCGATTTTTTGTCCGTTCGGTTTGACATTCGTGTATGCAGGTCATGCCCGTATACAAGTTCAAGGTTCAAAACCTATTTCGATTTATGATTTAAACCCCTGCGCGAATGTGGAGAGAGTCTCTATGCTACACATTATTACAAACCTTCAAAGTGTAGCCATATATAAAGTGGTCTATGCCTTTGTAAATTTCCCATGTGGGACAAACTTAAACAAGTTTTCCCTACGACACATTAACATCTTCCAATTCATCACTTTAAACTTCAATTTCTCATTCACTCACTTATCATTTTTGGCAAGTAAATATATGATTTCAATGTCCTCACGGAGGAGAATAAAAATCAACCTTAATCTTCCAAAATAAACAAACGGATCCCACTTAAAATTATGTCAAAAGTAGCCCACTAATGCCAACTTTTCCAACAGTTGCTTGTTGCAAGTCTCTTTGGGTTGGGACATGAGTTCTTCATTTTTGTAATTCAAATCCTCTTTTTACCAATCTCATATATCTTTCTTCCAAGATATGTCTTCAAACGAATACAACATGTGCTATAGTTGTCATTGGAGAGTCGACGAACGGGAAGAGAGTTGTTGCTTGACATCCCTACTTTTAGCACTTTTATAACCTCAATCTGATACCACTTTTGTCAGAAACTCAGATGGAAAAATAAATTTTAGGAAAGGAGAAGATAATATTCAAGAGAGCACTTAAACTTTTATTCAACTGATCACTTGTCAAAAATGAGTACAAAATTTTATAGAATATGAACTTAACCTAATACATGTACTAGTTATTAAATACAAATTAATTCCCAAAATTATTCATGTAATTCTCAAGTAGATGGATAAACTAGTATACAAAAGCATGTATGAATAATATCAAAATACATGAATGAATTAACTAAATAAATGAATTTTATGTGTCAATATATATGTTTTCTAATTATGCTTCTTTTCTTTTCAGTGGTGACCATGATTTGAAGATACCTTATATGAGTACTTTAAAATGGATTCGTAGTCTCAATATGACCATTGAGGACAGCTGGAGACCCTGGGTTGTTAATGGCCAAGTTGCAGGGTTGGTTTCTAATTCTTGACACAAACATATATTTTCATTTACAATGTTATTATCTTCACAATTGCACTATGCATTTTTCATTGTAGATACGTAGAGAGGTACAAGACCAATGACTTTAATCTCACGTTTGTAACAGTGAAGGCAAGAGAAGTTTGATTATGCTATTTATCACATTAATTTGAAGCAAAACAAGGAATAAAGAAGTGTTACTATTTTGCAGGGTGGAGGTCATACAGCTCCAGAGAACAAACCTGAAGAAAGTTTTGCGATGCTCCACCGTTGGCTCTCTCTATATCCTTTATAGATATGGATAGGGGGATTTTTTGGGGTCCATGCGTTACACCTTTTTAGCATTGTACTCTCAATAAATATTGTGCATTTATAAATTTCTGTAATGATGGCTATGAATTCGAGTGCAAATGTACAAGTAAATGGTTCAACCTTGTTGATTGGTGGTGTACTATGTTTTATTTTAGCCTTCATTCGGGAAGAACTAATAAATGGTTTAATTTATAAATAGATAGAAATGAATGCTCGACAAATGCACAACACTTGTAAATTCATTACAATGAGTGGTTGAAAATGAAATTTCACTATTTATAATTGATTTATACATTTTGTCAAACGGGGTTTACTTAGATATACAATAGTATTAAGATAAACTTTACTGAATTTTTCTTATGTAATGTTATGACTTTTTATTCTTTATTTTTTTCCAATTTACTCTAACTTCACTTGCATAGGTTCAGTGGCAAGAATTGAGTTTATGTTCTTATTAAATGATCTTAATTTTGTTTATAGATTTAAAGTGTGTTGGCCAACACAGCCCGACCCACGTTTCATAGAGGTAGAGAGATGGAGATTCTAATAAATATTATATATTTATTAGAGAATATTTTTTAATTTATAGAGCATCTATGAATTTAAAGAGTAAATTTTTTTTTTTTTTTAAGTATTTCAGTTGGTTCTTTATCTTTAACATTTAAATTTATTACTATAAAAATTATTTATTATTGTTTTCCTATTTTATATTTTCATTAGCTTCCCTTCAAATTATTATATTACTTTCTTCCATTAAAATTTGAAATACGTTGAATGCATTTAATTATATAGAGTGTGTTTGAATCTCCAAATTAGAGAGAAACACATACTCTATTTTAAAATATTAATATAAAGAGCCTCTTGGAGTATAATTTTAAGGGTTGATTCTTTAAAATAAAAGAGTATTGTTATGAAACAATCAATATACCAGAATTTCTCTGATACAACTTGTTATGTATTCGGATCGCAAGATAATAATAATAATGAAATAAACAAGAAGAAAATAAACACCAGAATTTACGTGAAAACCCAATATATCACGGAGAAACCCAACTAGGAAAAACTCCGGGCGCTTTGTCAGTCAACAATCTACTATAAACGATATGTAACTTACAGTCTACCAGCCTAGACAACGACACATACTATCTGATCTCCTGACTGTAATTCCAACAGCTTTCCTGGATTCTATACTCCTGGAATGCAGTGTCCAAAGCACTCCTGAATTCTACTCTCGTGTAGTAACTTTTAACTTTGTGAAATCGTTTATCTCCTGTGGATCCACGAAGAATACCTCGTTCTTCACAGATTGGAACTCCAGTCAAACTTTCTCGATCTTCAGAACTCTAATCAGATGTAGAGGAACAGCAGTTTGGTATTTGGATTATGAAACTGATGTTTTTCACTCCAAAACAAACTCACGAGATGAAGGTTGAAGGAAGGAATCGAATCAATCTCTCACAGATGTAGCTCTCTCAATATTCAACCTTAAAATTTTCGTACAGAAATGTTTTGGTATTTATATGTAGGGTCTAAAACAGATGAGTCATGGAAAAAGCCTTTAAAATGCAAAATAAAAATTTCTCGAATAAAGCTGTCGCTCGAGCAAAAGAGGGGCGACAGTCTAGTGACAGTGTTTTTGCTTTTGTAGCTCGAGCCAACCCATGGCGATAGTCCAGCGAAAATCCATGTCGTTTCCCTCCTTTTGACATTCTCAAACCCTAGACCTAAAAACAAACTATTTTCAACGTATTTGCACATTACTCCTTGAACTATTACAATATGCCAATTTCAGTCCTTTTGTTGACAGAATTTGACAATTAGAAACTCAACTAAGCCTAGCAAACTCCCCATTTGCCATTCTGTGACAAAACTACCAACTTATTTAAGGCAGTAATCAAATGAAAATTAAAGACTCATAAACATGACTTTAAACTTAAAAATGTCTTGAACGAACTTTGCAGTACCTGTTTTCTTAAATAGACAACTCAAATACCAGTGTAAAATGTGTGGAAAACAGTATGAAACATAATCACAGTTCAAATAGTTCACTTGTAGTTGTCATTTAAGCAATTGTAACTCAAATAGCATACTTTGCAATGTTAAATCACAAGCTAAACTAAAACNTATATATATATATATATAAGATAGTAGATACATCATGTAAGCACCAAGAACAAAAACTAAAAAAACAACTAGCTACCCTCTCCCTATCAACATACTGCTACAAATAAAAACATCTGCTCCCCCTTTTTGTCACATAATGACAAAGGGTAAGCCTGTATCTATGAAGCACTAGCAGCGTCATCGACATCATCAGAGTCTGTCCCCTCCTCAGAAGCACCATCCCAATGGCGACGAATCCATCGTAGTCCACGCTGAGTGTAGCCAACAACACCTCGAAGTGTAGCGAACTCAGTGGTGTGACGATCAACGATGGCACAAAGCTGCATAATCTCAGCCATCATACGAGCCTACTGCTTGAGAAGCACGATCATCTATTCCAGAAGAGCGACTGACGGGTCGATGTGAGCAGACGTAGTAGGAGCAGACTCGAGAGGAGGAGGAGGAGGTACTGACGCAGAAGGAGGAGGAGTCGAAGAAGAAAAGGGAAAATCGGTGGACTTAGGAGCAGTAGAAAATGAAGGAAAATTCGAAGGATCAAATGAGATCAAGTCATCGATAGGATCAGCCGGCACGTCAGATCAGCCTGAGGCTGTGCGGGCTCAAAAGAGGCATGTGACCTGCTCTGGGAATTAGTGGTATGGCCAATCGGCCGAGAAACCCACCGCGAAACTCCCTCGGGAAAACTAGCTCCTGGGTCAGTGACTAACCCATAGATGAGACAAGCATAAGACAGCCATAAACTCTACTTCCATTGCCTTTCTCCACTCATTGTGGTGGATTGCTTCTTCAAAGGTCTCTGGCTCTTTGATACTTTCATCTTCTTCTTCTGCTGCATTAGCATACTTGGGGTTTGGTTTTCTTTGTCTAGTTGATTTTCTTAGCTGTGGTTGTGGGCTTGTTCTTACCTCAACCTCCTCTTGTTGTCTTGACCTTATCTCTTCTGGTGTTGTCTAATGCACACCTGCCAATGATTTTGTAGTGTGTCAGTAGACTCCTTCTTGTCACTTGACTTTTGTCCATCTTTTGTTTTCTCAAGACTTGGTTGTGCTTCTGTGATCTCCTCTTGCAATTTGTCATCTAATTCCTTTGAATCTGGTAGCTCCACCATCTGCGGTGTCCACCATGAAAATGCTTTGTCAAACACCACGTTCCTTGATGTATAACAACGATCGGTTGTAAAGTCGCAGCATCTCCATCTTTTTTTTTACTGTCATACCCCACAAATATGCATCTGATTGCCTTCTTATCAAACTTGCTCCTTAAGTGATTAGGCACAAACACATAACAGATGCAACCAAAGACGTGAAAGTGACTTACCGTTGGCTTCTTTTTCCATAGTTTCTCAAATGGTGACATGAACCTTAGTTTCGGTTGTGGTAGCTTGTGGATCACATGTGCTGCTATTCTCATGCACTCTGCCCCAAACTTTCTTGGAACATTCTTTACGTGCAGCATACTTCGACACATTTTTGCAAGGTGTCAATATTTCATTTCTGCTACATCATTTTGTTGTGGTGTGTTTGGACATGTCAATTGATGGCATATCTTATATTCTCTTAAATACTGGGAAAATTCTCTTGATGTATATTCTCCACCATTATCCGTACATAGGCACTTAATCTTATTTTTGACTTCTCCCTCTACTTTTTCTTTAAATTCCTTAAACTTTATAAATGTCTCAGATTTCTCTTTCATAAAGAAAATCCAAACGTACCTTGAGAAGTCATCGATGAATGTCATCATGTAGCGCATCCCTTGATTTGATGGTTGCTTGACAGGTCCAAACACATCAGAGTGTATCATCTCCAATGGTAGCTTTACTCTATAACTTGACTATATTGACAGCCAGCACATACCATATCATCTCTGATCTCGAGTTGAGGAAGACCTTTGAGCATCGACTTCTTCATCATCACTTTCAGCTTATGATAACTCACATGTCCTAGTCTTGAATGCCATAAATTAGCTATCTCATTTTTTCGAGTCTTATCTACGTATGCAGACTCAGCTGACATTACGTAAATGGACTCTAATTTTCATCCTTCCATTATTGGTGTACCCAAAAATTTTATATTTTGATATACCTTAACATCTTTTGGCCCAAACAGAACGTAGTTACCTGATGATGTTAGCTGCACCACTTATAGAAGATTTTTCTTCATTCCTGGGACGTGATAAACGTCTTGTAACTACACCTTATTAGGACTAAACCAGGGCGTGATAATTGTCTTACCAATGTGGGAAATTAGCAATCTTGAATTGTTGGCAGTTACCACCATTCGGCCTCCCTTGTACTCCATTGTATTTTGTGGCTTCTCTTTATCACATATCATGTGGTTGGAACATCCAGAGTCGATGATCCAGTCACTTTCATAATCTACTCATCCAGGGAATATCACCACTAGTCCTGATTCTTCCTCGGGGTTTGTGCTGCATTTCTCCCCTTGAATATGCTATGTTAGTGCAAGCGAAGCTACATCATCTCATTCTTCTTCACTATTGTATTTTTCTTGCTCATTAGAGATTGTCATATTGCCTTCTACTGGCTTTTTCCTGAATCGACAGTCTATTTCATAATGGCCTAATTTACTACATACAAAACACGGGTCATTAGTTCGTTGAAATCCCTTAAATGGCTAACCTCTCTTGTCGTGAATTTGTTTGGCTCCCCTTGTCACAGAACCTTCTCCATTTTTATTCTCTTTTAGTTCTTTATTATTTTGTTGAAGGAATCGGCCTCTTCTTTTATAACTATATAATGCTTCTTCATCTTCTTTCTTTATTGAGACTCCTAACATTTGTTTGATTAAAGCTTCTTGGTCGGCTAACAAATTTTCAAGATTGACCAATGAAGGTTGC